TGGATGAGGGCGGTAACCTAGTGACAGATGATGTGGGAAAAGCTGAAGTGCTCAATGCTTTCTTTGCCTCTGTCTTCACGGACAAGGTCAGCTCCCAGACAAATGCACTAGGCAACGCAGTACGGGAAGAAGGTGGACAGCCTTTGGTGAGGAAAGAACAAGTTAGGAATTATTTAGAAAAGCTAAACATACACAAATCCATGGGCCAGGATTTACTGCATCCAAGGGTACTGAGGGAGCTGGCAAATGTCATTGAGGCACATTATCTTTGAAAACTCGTGGAGATCAGGAGAGATCCCAGATGATTGGTAAAAAGGCAAATGTAGTGCCCATCTTTAAAAAAGGGAAGAAGGACAATCGAGGGAACTACAGACAGTCATCCTTACCTCAGTCCCTGGAAAAAATAATGGAGGGGATCCTCAAGTAATCCATTCTGAAGCACTTAGAAGAGGGGAAAGTGATCAGGAATAGTCAACATGGATTCACGAAGGGCAAGTCGTGCCTGACCAATCTGATTACCTCTATGATGAGGTAACTGGCTTTGTGGATATGGGAAAGTCAGTGGATGTGATATACCTTGACTTTAGCAAAGCTTTTGATATGGTCTCCCACAATATTCTTGCCAGCAACTTAAGGGAATATGGATTGGATAAATGGACTGTAAGATGGATAGAAAGCTGGCTAGATTGTCGGGCCCAACGGATAGTGATCAACGGCTCGATGTCAGGTTGGTGGTCAGTTTCTAGCGGAGTACCCCAAGGATCTGTTCTAGGACCGGTTTTGTTCAACATCTTTATTAATGACCTAGAAGAGGGGATGCATTGCACCCTCAGCAAGTTTGCAGATGACACTAAGCTAGGGGGAAGAGGTAGATACGCTGGAGGGCAGGGATATGATCCAGAATGCCCTGGACAGATAAGAGGATTGGGCCAAAAGAAATTTGATGAGGTACAAGAAGGACAAGTGTAGAGTCCTGCACTTGGGACGGAAGAATCCCAAGCACTGTTACAGGCTGGGGACCGAATGGCTAAGTAGCATTTCTGCAGAAAAGGACATGAGGATTACAGTAGATGAGAAGCTGGATATGAGTCAACAGTGTGTCCTTGTAGCCAAGAAGGTGAATGGCATATTAGGGTGCATTAGGAGGAGCATTGCCAGCAGATCCAGGGAAGTGATTATTCCCCTTTATTCAGCTCTGGTGAGGCCACATCTGGAGTATTGTGTCCAGTTCTGGGGCCCCCATTACAGAAAGGATGTGGACGCACTGGAAAGGGTCCAGCAGAGGATGGCCAAAATGATTAGGGGGCTGGAGTGCATGACCTATGAGGAGAGACTGAGGGATTTGTGTTTGTTTAGTCTGCAGAAGAGAAGAGCGAGGGGGGATTTGATAGCAGTCTTCAACTTCCTGAAGGGATGGTCCAAAAAGGATCGAGAAAGGCTGTTCACAGAAGTGACGGTTGACAGAACAAGGAGCAATGGTCTCAATATCCAACCTACATCTCTCCCACTGTAACTTAAGAAAAACCAATTCACTAGGAGTGTGGTGAAGCACTGGTATGGGTTACCCAGGGAGGTGGTGGAATCTCCATTTCTAGCAGTTTTTAAGTCTCGGCTTGACAAAGTCCTGGGTGGGCTGATTTAGTTGGGATTGTTCCTGCCTTGAGAAGGGGGCTGGACTTGATGACCTCCTGAGGTCTCTTCCAGCTCTATGATTCTATGATTCAAAACTAGAAAATAAAATTCATCTAGAGAGACAATATGGTTGTGAGTGTAGTGAAAAGTTCAGTATAATTCACTAAACAGAATAAATCATCTTAAGAATCAAATAATGCTGCTGCACTATGTAAATACTACTGAATGCTAGCCCAATCAGCCAGGCACTGTTTACCATGAAGTGAACATGACTTATGCCAGCACAATGGTGGTATTTGTGCCTTATAAAAAAAAAACAACCTTGCAATGTGCCAGAAAGTTAAACAAATAAGAGGGAAAATTAAAATGTAAAAAAGTTGGTATCATAAAAATCCTTACTATCACCTTTCAGTCCAGTTTTGATTGGGAAGCAATTGAAAATATAAAAAAAAAATCTTTTGACTTTTTAATTAAGGGTTCGCAGATTTTAATAACTCAGTAGCAGATGACAAGCCTGGACATGTGCTGAATTGTTTAAGAAACATCATCCTCCCCTTCTTTCATGAAAACAAATTCTCTCACACAGAGACATACAGGCCCTTCGCAAAGGTGCTAATCTCAGTCAAAAACTGCAAACAAGATCACCATGAAGCTATTCTAAAGGGACGAACATGTACTGTTAACATTTGAGAACACTGCACTTAGCAGAAGAGACAGTCATGTTTTGTGGGATCCCTCAAGTCTGGTGAGTACTCCAAAATAGAGGAAGAGTTTCTCAAAAGCACACTCTGTGAGCATCCTAAAAAGGAAGACCAGAGCTTGCCAACAAAGCCTGCTATGTCTCCAAGACAGGACAGTAGTTTCCCATTATCAGCGTAACACAGAGATCCAAGCAGATGCGTATGGGCATCCCCCGTCCATGGGCAGGCAAAGTGCCATCAACACAACAAACCTGAACCTCATTTGGCAAAGATCGAGGATACTGGTGAGGATAAGTACATTTAAAGGTGGGTTTTTGTTGCCAGCTTTACAGTTATCTTGTTCAAAAACAGGAGGCTAGATACCATATGGTTCTTTATAAGGTTTAGTTAGACCAAAGATTATATATTTTTAAAAGAGCCAACCTACAGCTTTAACATGATAAAAGCAGCACTGACACCTTCCATTAGTAGGGGTCCTGACTGCTGCTTTCACCAACAATATGTCCCTGTTGCAATCACATGTATTGAAAAGTATCTTTCAATGCTTTTACAGTGTCTTGCTTCATAAATGTGCTAGATGCCACATAGCAGTAAAAAAGCAGTGTGTTTTTCATCTTATAATTAATATATACTTTCTGCTTCCAAACATGGCTTCAATGGCACTTATGGAGGTGGTTTCCCTGAGGATTCAGAAGAGAAATTATTATTACTGCAGCTGTAGCCCTGGAAGGAAACGGCAGGAATAGTTGCTAGAAAGAGGCTCTAACTTTTTAAAAGCCTGCCAGAGTGGCTGATGAGAATCATTATCTTCTTACTCTTGTGGAAATATACAAGACTCTCTATAGAAAGGCACTGTTCTTGACCATTATATTAGTTCATGGCCTCCATAACCCAGGAGGTAGGACCAAAAATATCACAACACTATACAATACTGGAAGTCTGCATTTTCTTCTGTTGATATTATCACATTATGAATTGACCCACTTCTTCCATTTTAGATCTTGATCTCAGAATGGTATAACTTTCTGTACTGAGTGTGGGTTTTTCTCAGACAGTTCTTACCATACTTTGAACCAAAATTAAGCAGACATCCTGTGTGTTACAAACCATCTTGCAGTACCATAGCTATCCATGCTGTGTCAAAATATACAAGAAAAAGAAAGCATTGCCGAGCAATGAAGTCCATTAAATAGACTAGAGATCTCTGATTTGATGTCATTATGGTATAACTATGTAACATTTAAAATAATTTATTAAATGCAAAAGATGAATGAATTGTACTGAAAATTGAAGAGAAAGGTATCAAACAACCTTCAAAAATATTTTCATGTTAAGCCAGGAAAACAAGAAGAAAAACAGAGACAGCTAAGCTCATAAAAATATTTTAGGAAACCAGAGTATTCAAGGTAATCTTGTAGCAACACAGGACAGACAAACTGAAGTTTGAGAATTTAGGATGAAAAGTAGTCACTCAAAATGATTCATCAAATTGGGTGAAAAACACAAACAGGCACGATTAGTACTCATCTCAAGAAAGCTAAAGAAAAATGGTATTAAAAAACTAGAGATTTTTTTAAAAAGCAATATACATAAACATTACCAGGTCATTTTAGGTACTAGAAACTAGCTTCAAACTGTTTAAATAGTTATAGAAATTTAGGGCAGATTCCAGCTCTTTCAACCTTCTTCATGGATCACTGTCAGGGTGAGTAAATTATGCCCAATTATCCACACCTGTAAATTCTGTCTGCATCTTTCAATCCCATTCCCTCTTTAGAAAAGTCAAGATGTTTCTGCTATTGCACCTATCCTGCATAAAACAGTTTTGTTAGACCAAAAAAAAGATTATTTTTGACTATTTTTACTACAGGGTTACAATACCAACTGTAAATGAGCAAAGTTTTCTTGATTTCACAGATATAGGTACAAGTTTGAAGAATGAGAAGCAGCTAAAGTTCTGGAACTGTCTCGAGATTCAGGAAAATAAATGTTAAGTTATATTCAGTTCACACAGAGAAGGTTATCTTTAAGATAGTATGGGCTAGCATTTATTTTAACGAAGCTGAATATTTACTCAAACTAATACTGCAGGTCCCTTCGCTTGCCAGAGACAAACTTTCCACTAACCAATGGGAAAAGAATGATTTTTCAAGTCTCATAATATGTAGTCTTGATAATTATGTGGCCCAGCAGGTACACAGAGCATCTTCAGACAATAGCTGTGCATGCATGTTTAGGCTGGCCAAAGAATCTGAAGCTATTATCTGTGAGATATTTTAGGTAAAATATCTGTGTATGAGTATTATATATGTAATTTGTAACTACTATATACTATACTATGTTTCTGCAGTTTCTAGAAGAGATTAGTAATGCCAATAAACTGTTTTGAAATCTTTTACATTGCCTGTTTGAAAAACCAATAAACATGAACTTCAGAAGTACCAAAGCCTATAAAAATATAGATATAAATTTAGTGAAGTAGAGTTGCCTTAATTAGGCAAACTTACATTTATTTTTTAATCTTGCTGCAATAATGTTTATTTAAGAAAGCCTTTTGAAAAGTGCATATAATAGAAGAGATCCCATTTTAAGCTATTCATGTATTGGCAGATGTGCAGCTCTTGTACATCCCAGAAATATTAAAACATAAGTTCAAAAGACACTTACTTTTATTGTAGCAGGTTGCGAGCACACCTTTATCTGCAGGACTGGCACTAATGTGCCAAATTTCACCCACTTGATGGATAAGAACATTTTTGTTTATAATGTTATTTTCATCATCAAAATCTATTATGTGAATCTACAAATACAATAAAAAGACAACATTAGGGCTCCATTCTTTTCCTATGCATCTTAATTATGTATGGTGACAGCAAAGAACCATCTAATGTGAATTTTATAACTGATACCTACTGTTGTTATACTAAGAACATAATTCTTTAATTTTATGCAGGATATTTTCTCTAAAAAAGTTATGTCCCTATCATGAAGAATCCCTTTTAATTTCCCTGGTGTTGCAACTACAAAATACAGCCTTTTCCATTGATCGTGAACAGAAAATGAGCTATTAAGAGTTCTAAACTTGCAGTTTATCACTTTGCTAGCAATGAACAAAAATTAAACCCTTCAAATCCTCCATCTAAATATCTAAGATAATTTTGTATCCAGCTCAACAGAAATGAATCTCCTTTAAGTGGATAGAAAGGATTTTTAGTAAATGTAACAGGAAAACTGATACCCCACTAGAAGTTTTTCAGCACTATATCTTTAGCTACTGTATATACAAATGATACATGTGGAAATGTTACAATTTTTTTTTTTAATTGACAGGTAAAAAAATGTCAGCCTTTCAACTTATAACAACAGACAATTTAGCATCTTGACAATTGTTTATAAGATTTAACAAGTGGTTTCAGGTATTATTCAGAATCCTCCTGCTTGTCAATTTTTTTCTTTTGTATTTATAAAACATTTTTGCCAATATTAGCTCTATTTCCTTAGCTACCATGTGGAAGATTCAGACAAAAAGCAAGGAAAACTGACAAAGATTGACCCTGAAAAACACTTAACATGCATGAGTAACTTCACCCATGTAAATTAGCCCTATCAGAGGTTCAACAATAGAACACCTGTATCAAGATTCCCTCGAAGCTGTATGGTAGCATTGCCCCGCAGCTGCTTAATGTGCCCTGGACAACCAGAGGCTCATAGCTGCCATGCACAGAGCTTACTGGCTGGGGGAAAGACATTTCTCCCTCAGCTGCGCAGAAGCTCTCTACTGAGGCTAGAGCAGGGAGTCTCTCCCAGCCTGTAGGGACATGTCCCTTCCCTACCAGCTGGGAGAGACTTGCTGCTCTGTCCTTAGCAGGGAGCTGCTGCTGTAGCTCAGGGAGAAGTGCTGCTCCCCCAGCCAGGCAGCTCTGTGCGTAGAGCCCTGAGCACCAGAGCAGGGCTCATTAAGCAGCTGTGGAGCCATGCTACCACGCAGCGTAGAGCGAACCTTGACCTGCATGACAAAAAAAATATTAAAACTAAAGACATCCTATTCCCTATTATTAAATATTAGGTCATTCTAAAAGCTTTTCCACACACAGTAATGTAGGCAATTGCTCTAAAGTGTTTAGTGTGTTTGATAAAACCAATCAGTCCCTTTTAGGATTTGTTTGTTTCATTTTGAAATACTGAGTGTTCCTTCCCTACTAGGAATCCAGCAAGGGCTATATAAATGGTTTCAAACTCCCAGCCTGCAGGCCATCTACAGCCAGAGCATATTTGCAATCTGACCTAGCAGTCTCTGCGGCCCAAAGGGGGGCATGTCAATACTCACTCCCAAGCCCCTCCCCTTCTTACTGCTGTCCCACCCTCTCTCCCACACTGCATCCCACTCCTGGGAAGGACTTGGTGCAGGATCACTGTAGCACTCAGGCACTCCTGCAGCAGCCATGGGGAAGAGCATTTGGTGAGCACACACTCCTCTGCACTGTGGCTCCTGTCACAGCAGGGAGTGCAGGAATCACTGTTGCCACCCCACACCAGGAACTCCTGGTGATCCCCCAGGCCACGTCCCATGGGCAAGGGGGTGCCATGGGAGATGGCAGGAAGAGGTGGAGCTTGGTGGATGGGAATGGACACATACCCCTGGGCTGCTGGAACTTCCAGACCAGACTAGGAATATACTCTAGCTGTGGATACTCTGCAGGCCATGAGTTGGAGACCCCCAAGATACATCCTCTAGTTTCATTCATCTCTAACTAGCATTCACCTTTTCTTTGCTCTTTTCTGTACTGTCATGAGCAATTACTTTCCTAAATTGGATTTTGATTCCCTATACCAGTGCCATTCTCCTAATCTCTTACCAGACTCTAAGATAGGGTGGGAAATAATTGTTGATGGGGGGGGGAGTACTCCAAGAATCTGGTAAGTGGTCAAGGGTCGCACTCTTCTATGCTATTAATGGAGGCAGTGTGGAGTCTGGGAGGGAGGTTGGGTACATAAGGGAGCTCAGGGTAGGGGCTTGGAATGCAGTAGGGGCTGCAGAGGCTGCGAGGGTGTTGTGTCCTGGAGCAGGGATGCAGGAGGAGTTGCTAGTGTTTAGGTTATGACCTAGGGCAGGAGGACACTGATCTGTGGCAGAGGATTGGGATGCAGGAGGGGATGCAAGGTCTGGGAGGGATAATGGGAGGAGAAGTGGGTGTACAGAGTATTTGGATTGTGACATGGGGCAGGGATGTAGGAGTAAGTGCAGAGGTTCAGGTTGTGACCCGAGGCAGGAAGTTGGAGAGCAGGAGGGGTACCAGGTGCAAACTCTGGCCCAGAGGCACTTACATTAGGTGGCTCCCTGCCAGTAGTACATCCGGACCCTCAAGCAGGCTATCTGTGGGGGCCATGTCCATCTCTGAGCAACAAACATCCCTTGAGGGGGGGGCTCCACGTGCTGCCTGTGCTACAAGCAGGGCCCAGGTGTCTTGCATTGGCTGGTTTCCGGCCAATGGGAGCTGCAAGGTTGTGCTGAAGGAAGGAGCAGTGCACAAAGCCTCCACCTAGGGCACACAGCATGTAGACACACACATAGCCCCAGAAGCCATCCCCTTTGAGGACATGCACAGAGCCTGCTGAGGGATGGTGGCCGGACGGATCTGGCAGTTTGGTGGGCTAGATGAAGTCCACTCCTGCTCTAAGACATCTAAAATGCCCATCAGTTGCTCAAGGAGTTCTCTCTATTTGGTCATCATTTATTGACCCAAATCCTGAATCCAACTATAAAGTGAGACATTATTCATCCTTTAAGCCAACACACATCCATTTTCCTGTCCAATTTAAATAACACTCCAACCTTTCAAAAAAAACAAACAAACAAACAAACAAAAACCACACACTAAACCTGTCCCTTGTTTCACATTACCTTATCTCCTGCTTGAGCATGATCTACTGTGCCAGACACTACCTTGGCCTCTTCTACATCCTGTTACCACAATTGCACATTATAACTTGAGCTGCCTCATCTATAAAGATATCTCTCTCACTTCATCTTTATATCTGACCTTCAGGACTTCTCTTTTTAGCTCGATAGACACTTGCTGTAAAATATTTTCTAAGATAAAATGCATACTTGTACTGGCTAAACTTACAATTCGAGCCATTTGCAGACAAACTGGAAGCAAAATACCATATTTGTGAATTTGGGATGTCAAGATAAAATGAAGGCAACAGCAATGTACACTGGAATTACAGTCTCTGGAAGAATTTCTTCCTTTTGTAAGTCTTTGGCCTAAAGTAATTCCATAGTTAGGACTCAAAGGCAAATCCTATTATTCCTGTGAAGTGCATCTTTTACAATTGCTTCTCAGTCTTGCATCCCTGAGACAGGATCCCTCGAGTTCATCATTTCAAGTCAGAGAAAGGTATATAGGCAGGATGTTTGGAATGTGAGAATCACTATACTACCCTGACTATGGAAAGATTCACACTAAAACTTTATGCCATTGCTGCAACATACAATACATCCATCCTGCCTGTTTGCATCTTTTCTTTACACTCAGCTTTTTCAAAAAAATGTGAAACCTTCTACTGAAATTATTAAGTAGACTCCTTGGCAGTGCAATTGGTTCCCTAAAGGTGAACTACAAATCAAAAATCCATTTACTTCAACAATGTGTATTATATGTCCCCCACTAACCAGGTTAAGTGGGTCATTCAGCACATAAACCAAGAGTACCTTTTACACTCATAAGAGGGCTCTCAAAGTCATATGGACAATTTCTACTATGCTGTGAAAATTCTGCTTCAGCTGATCTCACAGTTACCAGGTAACTCTGCAGGAGCAAAGGGTCAACTCATGTAAGTCAGGGATAAATCCTGGATTAAAACAAAATTTCACATTTGACAAAAGGTCTTTAGGTATAGGAAAAATAAGAAAAATCCTTCTTTGGTAGCTGTGACATGCATCCTGGAACAAGAGGAAATGCTACAGCAGAGTGCCAACTTGTTAGCCTGCTGTGAGAAAGGAGGAAGGAGCTTTAAAAATTGAAAAAAAAAATTTTTCCTCCATGGTTCCTCTGCTAATGTTCTTCTTAGCTTGGCCATTGTGAGCATTCAACATATATTTCTAAAGTTGATGAAATCTTGTTAAATCTTCTGTCATTCATATTTAGTGTTTTCTCTGAATACATTTGGACCTAATTTATTTAACACAATCCGATGCCACAATGACAAAATCTGACAAATAAGACATACCAACTCATGTCACCTTCTTAGATGGGCTTCAATTCCAAAATGCACTAACCAATATTGTCAAGGACAGACATCAAAAGTTATTGAGTGCAAAGATGAGTTAACAGATTAAATATAATCATATGTTATGTCATTTAGATATAGTGGTAGCAAGCACCTTAGGAAAGGGATAGCATGAGCAAGTGGTAAGTAATGGCTTTTGTGCATGGAGAAATTTCCCAGTACAGTACAGCGATCATTGAATACTACCCCTGTGTGCATGCTCCACTCAAGAATTACATTGCTTTGCCAATAAAGGCTGTCCACACAGGGAAGTTATACCAGCACAGTGATAGCTGAATAATTATTCCGCTGTAGCTGTTGTGGGAAAATTTATCATATACACAAGCGATAAGTAGCTTAGAAAGAGTAGAAACTGAAAGTAAGAACAATATATCTAGTTTTCTTCCAAAATACTAAAAGTTTACTAAACAATGATCATTCAACACTTCTGTCTGATTTTCTCCAGAACAAAATTTTGCACAAATTGTAAAAGTTTTGTGACTCCTACAACTGAATATTTTTCAGGCC